AAGGGCAGTAAATAGTGCTTCTTACCCACTCAGTGCTCCCTGGCTTCACTGTAGGGCTGGAGAAGAAGTGACGCCTGTGTCTCCTTTACTTACAAAGAAATACAGAAGGGTCAGAGCTAAATGCACCTTGCTGATGGGTTCTGGGATTGATTTAATTTTTATACTGTACACACTTCACTCTGAAGCTGAGTTCTCAGGATTTCTAAATGGAGCCCATCCCAATGTATAAGCACCAGGTAACTCCAGGACCAGTAACAAAGAATTCTCCTTGCTGATCTTATTTGTTAAGTAGTTTGTGAATTTGAATTAGTGCTGCAGGAGGGATCTTAACTACCAACCACACAGCACATGCTCATGTATCTCCTTTATGTGTTCTTCATGTCAAGACCAGTGAGTGATTATGAATCCTGCAGAGTCTCCAGGCATCTGTTGTAAGAGCAGGTCCTTCCTGCCCAGCACTCTGTAGCATCCCGTTAGTGCTGCCACTGTTGTTCTGACTGCAAGCAGGATAATGTCAGGGTTTGTTTACATGTCTGTCTGCCCCAGTGCACACTCCATCCTCTTGGAAGGGTAACACAGGAGTCTATTTGTCTTAGTCTGTTTTATGTTGCTATAACAGAGTACCTGAGATTGGGTAATTTATAAACAATGAAAGTTTATTTGGCTCTGGGAGTTTGTGCTGCGTCATCCATGGTGGAAGGTGCAGCAGCAAGAAAGTGCAGGAGGAAGGGGCCAAACTTGCATTTCCAACCAGTGCTGTCTCACAGCAGCTAAGCTGCTCTGTGACCAGAGCGTTATCTCATTCAGGAGGGAGAGGTCCTCCAGACCCAGGGACCTCTTACAGGTCCCTCGACACTGTTGCCCAAGGAGTTATGGTTCCAGCACATGAACTCCGAGGGACAGATTCAAACAGAGCACCACTCATCGTTGTGCAGGATGGGCTCGATGCTTGCTGAATGATGATGAATAAATGAACGAATCAGTAGTGGGTGGTGGATATTGAGAACTCGTATTTTTGTTAAACCTTCTGCTGTTTTCCTAAGGAGCACAGGCTGGCCTTTTCACTATCCCTGCCTACATGGTCCTTCAGAATTGCACTTCTTTTGACACCAGATGCTCTCAGAACAGAGCACAGCTGCCTTTCCTCTCCCCCGGAAGAAGAGGATCACAGGGCATGGCTCTGAAGTATGGGCTGATGAAGCTGACAGCGCTTGACCCTCCATTAGGTTTCTATAAGTGGGCTGCTCTTAGCAGATTCCTTCAGAACTATCCTTGAATGACTAGTGTGGGGCCTGGTGATTCCCTGGCCTTGCTCATGGGTGACTCACAGAAGAGAGGGTTCTGAATTCCTAGCTTTCAATACCTGTCAGGAGACTGTGTTGTTCTTACTAAACAGTAGAATTTTTTTTAAAAGCTGTACTATAAGCATTTGCATTAGAAATGGAATGTTTTTGCTTCAAATTTCTGTCAAGTGTTCTGTAGAGGTCACAGGAATGAAAACCATTGTGTGCAGGTGGTAAACTCTGCGTCTCTATCCCTCTGCACCTGGACTAGGTACAATGTGTTCAGTTAACTTATTCTATTTCTCTCTCTCTCTCTCTCTCTCTCTCTCTCTCTCTCTCTCTCTCTCTGTCTCTCTTTCCCCTTTTCTCTCTGTATATCTATGTGTTTCACAGCTGGTGAAAATAAGTTCATAGTAAACAATATTATATCATAAGCAAACTGTGATGTGCCCGGTGTCACAGAAGATCAGAATAAGAGTCAAGAATGTTTCCTGATATCAAGGGATTTACTCTCTAGATACACCACTGGGTCAAATAAAGAGTGATGTGTGCAAGGCATCATGGGAAGGAAGATAAGGAAAGGAAGCTGCCTACTGCCCCCAATTCCACCTGAGTGAGCTGGGGGGGGGGGTAGAGGTGAGTCTCACAGGGAAGGTTACATTTGGCTTGAACCTAAAAGATGAGTAACAATTCACTTAGCAGAACACATATAGAAGGTTACAGAGAATAGTGGTGAGTCCAAAGGCTTAGGAATGTGAAGATGGTTTGAAATGTGAAGCTGGGAAACAGGCAGAGTTGGCCTTCAGCATTCCAGCTAAACATTAGCCCTGAGCATGCACAGAATAGAGGCCGGAAGTGGGTCTCGGGAAGTAAGTTATGGTCATATCATAAAGGGCTTCAAACGCCAGGCCTAGGGGCTTTGAGATTGTGTGTGTGTGTGTGTGTGTGTGTGTGTGTGTGTGTGTGTAACAAGAGAGTGGGTATTTTCACTGACGAATTCTAAATAAATGAGTAGAAAGTCAGAGATTTGTTCCACTGAGCTCTTTTCTGCCAGTCCTGGACCGCCCACTCTGTTCTGTCTGCTCCACTGTTTTACTTTTTGGAGCAGATTGTCCTGGAATGTCCTCGCTGCATGCTCTCTTGTTTTGTTTATCCCACTCCTCCTTGTTATTTTAACCTAAACCCAGGTAGTCACTCATGATTTTGGCTGTCTCCAGGAAGTGTAGGACCAGTGATTTTTTAAGAAGACCCTTGGCTGCTAGCATGTGAGGAGAGAAAAATCAATGGAGTGCTTGCCCAGAATTATTTCCAGGATTTGTGCTTCCAACTCAGCATTTCTGGAGTACTTTATAGAGGCTTTGTAAAGATTTAGTTGAAAATCAACTTATGGATTCCTCCCTAATTGGCTTGACCAGGTTTAATCTATTCTTGGTCAGGCCAAGCTGGCTTCCATTAGGCAGCGCACTAAGGATTTCCGGTTTTGCTCTTATCCTAAGGGAGGTTTGCTGTTTTTAGAAACAAACCTGAGTGTTGGTGAAGGCCAGTATCACTGTGTCCTCGGCAGTGACCCCAGAGGGTCTCACATCTGACATACAGCATTTCAGACCTTTGATTAGAAAGAACAAGTCTTGGATTTGGCATTTGTATGCTAGAGGGTTCTGGTTTTATGCATACTTTTTCCTCCCCTAGATTAAAACAAAGCTTGCTATTTGTTTCTGCTTCTTTGAACTAAGCCCTGTGAATACTTAGGATACCTTATAGCAAGGTCCGCAGACAGTAGCTTTTCTCAAGCCAGGATGCCCTGAAAGAACAGCAGATGAGGGGACAGGAGTGTCTGTCACTGGAGGCCTGGCGTCACATGCTTTGGCTGTATCCACTTCTCCAAAGTTGTCCAGTGCTGACTGTATGGACTCAATGGCAAGGAAAAGAGATTTAACCTTTGGTTATAGGATTGGAACAATTGATGGGCACTATTTAGAGAGCATCAAGCCATCACCAGAAGATGACTTCTTGATAAAAGAGAGATAGAGAAGTGTATGGAGAGTTTGTGAAGGTAAAAAAGCAAACAGTGAGATCACCCCTACAGGGCTGTGTTTCCTCTCTGCCTCTGTATGAAAGAAAGAAGAGAGAGTGGAAATCCCATTTCCACTATAATCCATGGAGGATGGAGTGCCATGTGCGCGAATGTGGCAAGGGCATGCTGTGTGCATTTGTGACCACTCAGAAGTAACTGCCCCTTTCCCTCCCCTCCAACCTCCTCGCCAAGCCCTTCCTGGTGCTCTACGGTGCTTACACAGTTGTGGTGGAGGAAGCCACCTATGATATGAACATCTGCTCTGTTGAGCTTATTAGCATCAAGAAAACCAACTTTGAACTCCATAAATAACAGTACACCCATATATGTACTTAAATACAGACATGCATTTGATAGGTTTTACAAAACTGATCCAACATCTGTTTTGTTTTCTTTGTTTATTCTATCCCCCTCCATCCACTCTGCCCTTATCCCTACCCCAGTCTCCAAAGTGAATTCCTCCGCAAAGCATCATTTAAAAGATGTAGTAAACTCTGCATTTGGAACTGGCTCCCAGATCTTGTTTTTGAAGACTTCTTTGCCGCTTCCATCCCTTTTGGCCAGCCCAACCTTGAATAGTAGATGGGTAGCACAGTGAGATAGCTGGGGCTGCTTGCTGGACGCCTAGGAAAACTGGTCACAGGGACATTGTGGTAATGGCCTGGATTGAGAGAGGAGCTTGTCTCTTCCAGCCATCTGACCACCTCAGGCTGTACATACCTTGGCTCATATTGCTTCTGCAACCTGGCGTGCTGTCCGAAGTTCAGTCTTCCTGGATGCCACAGGCCAGTCTTTGCAGACAGTACTTAGGTAACTCCCAAAGCTTTCCTCAGTCCCCAAAAGGAGGCATTGATTCTCTGTGTCTGGCACATTTTCTGTCTCTCAGAACACTTTTAAAAGAAAAAAGAGAAAATCCATTTGTACATCTCTGTGCATATTTATCTGTCTCCTCTAAACCAGCTCCTGGAAGACAGGATCAGACCTTTGCCTCTTTAAATACTTGGCACACTGCCTGCCATTTAGTGAATGCCCAATAAATTTGTGATGAATGAATACACTTTCTAAACAAAGGCAGTGACTATGGTTATGGAAAGAAGAGTCCAAGTTTGTGAGGTGTTTTTTTTTTTAAAGTTTCATCAAGACTTGGCAGACTGTGGCCTGAGGGTCAAATCCTGCCTGCTTTGTTTATTGCTTTTGTAAATAAAGTTTTATTGGAACACAGCCAAGCCCACCTGTTTATATGTTGTCTCGGGTTGCTTTTCCTCTACCATGGCAGAAGTGAGTCGTTGCGATTGTCTGCAGTCCACAAATCCTAGAACACCCATACACTGGCCCTTTGCTGAGTAAGTCTGTCGATCTCTTAGTAAATGAATAGTATTAATGACTAGAAATAAAGGATGCTGGAAAGGAAAGAGTCAAGATCTATCCTTCTCACATGGATCCTTACTGTGCCCAATCTAGAGCTTTGCTCCCAAGTGACAGCCTGGGCTGATGGCCAACGGTAATGAGAAGGAAAAGCCTATGAATGTGGTGCAGGAGGGAGATGGGACCCGGGTAAGAGAGACTGAGGGCCACTGCACAAGGCAGACTGAACTGAACACCTGCTTCCCCCTGGACACGTCTTCTGTTGTTTTTTCTCCTAGTCATTCAGTTCGGTTTTGTCACTCTCTTTGTGGCCTCCTTTCCTCTGGCACCTGTGTTTGCCCTCCTCAACAATGTCATCGAAGTGCGACTAGATGCTAAAAAGTTTGTCACGGAGCTGAGACGTCCAGATGCTGTGAGAACCAAAGATATTGGTAGGTCACCCCTCTGGAGGCCACCAGCCCACAACCTACCCTATAGGTGGTCCTCCCACCATCCTTGACCTGGTCAGGAGTCCAGAGGGCTTGGAAAGCCCTGATCTCTTTGCTCCTTAGAGTTTTTCATCCTCACATCCTCCGATGCTGGAATCTTTGGAGGCCACCTTATCGATTCCCAGTTGTGCCCCTAATTTGCAGACACAGGGGAACAAAGCTTTCCCAGACAAACCCACTTCTGGGGGGCCCAGGCAACCTGCCCTGGTAATTTGTCTGCAGTATGTCACCCCAAGCTACAGCCTTGTCATCCCTGGCCCAAGGGCAGGAGTGAGCCAGACATTCTTTTTTTTCTGTCTTACAGGAATTTGGTTTGACATTCTCTCCGGAATCGGCAAGTTCTCTGTTATTATCAATGTAAGTGCTTCCATTCGGGGAAACTCTGGCTCTGTGGGAGGTGCTTTCCTTGGAGTTGAGCTCTTCAAAGCAGGAAACCAGCCCTTGTTACCTCTTAGCCTTTTCCATTTGCAACTTTATTCAAGATCTTCCCCTGGTTAATGGTGCAAGCCTGCCTTGTAACTCATCATGTGGTCTCTGGGGCTCTGCAAATTGTATTTTTAATTTCACTAAGCATTAAGTGAAAGAAAGTAATTATTCATCAGAATGCATACCTTAGTCTTAATAGTCAAAATCAGATCTTTCTTCAGAGCCAAGAATAATGAGGAAGGAATGCTACATATCTGTCCATCTCTTTCCTTTCTTTCTCTACTCCTGAGTTAAATAATACCTGGAAAATTGCCCAGGCTGCAGTTCCTAATTACTGTTCCTCCAGTTGTCAATGCAAAGTCTTAATTATCCCCATGGTGTGTGGCATGGTGTACGTTAGGACAGGACATGAAAGGATAGCTGTCTCACCTTGTGTGACTTTACTTGCCTGCCAGACATGGCTGCATTTCAGAGGAAATCTACTGGGCCCCAGCCAACAGCCCTTTTGTTTTTGTACTCTGGACAGAAGGTGGCCAGCCAAGGCCTCCTGTCCTACCTCTCAAGAAAATGTCAGTCAGCTTGGTGGACATCAAGAAAGTCGTAGCCCGGGTTCCTTTGCAAGGAAAAGCATTGATCTGGCCTGGTTCCTTGATAAGAACACAGAAACTGATTGGAGAGGTCTGAGGAGAAGCAGAGAAAATCAGTCCACTGTGTTTGGAAGGTTTTGGCATAGGAAGCACACATCTTAAGCATGGAAAGAAAGTGAAATTTGGCACACATATTGATTATTACTCTCATTCATGTTCATTAGACAAGAGGCCCTCTATACTAGCTACTTTCTATCTAGAGTAGAGAATGACACGGTCCTTTGAAATTTGTTTACTTATCTGTAAAATGGGACATAAGAATAGAACCCAGCAAACAGAATCATTCTGGAAATTAAAAGGGATGTAAAGGACATAAACAAGTGCTCAGCAAGTTGTAGCCACGATTATTATACATATGTTATTCATTCTCAAATATGGTCATGGCTAGCCACACTCATGTATACATTTAGAAAACAATATCTAAGCTACATTTTTAAGGGTCTTTAATTGTTGGTGCAGACTACAGTATAAACACCTGCCAAAAAGATTTAAGATTTTCTTTGTAGAAAGCACCTTCACATTCAAACATGCAATCACTCACTGGCTGTTTTGTTTGCTCCATAGACATTTATAGAGCACTTAGGTATGCCAGATGCTGTATGGAATATGTATGGCTCCATCTAGCAGGATTTCTTCCTTTGTCCTTTGGGTCTCACTTTTCCTAAGTAAAATGGATAAAAGAACAACTTCCATTATGTGACGTGCTATAATGTGTTGAGAAATAACGATCAAGTTGAGGGAACTATGAACTCATACTCCTGGCCTTCTGGTGTCCCTCAGGGCAAATGTACATCATAGTTGTTTAATTTCCTTGCCTGCTGCACTGTATGACATTATCACAACAGGTGATTCTCCCAGAATACCTTGCACTCTGATTTGATTTGACCAACCTCAGTGTCCATTCAAAAAGCTTAAAGGTAGAGTGGTCCTTCCAGTACCTAGTGGCCCAAGTTGGATTAGCATCCCTTGCTGTACTCGTTGCAATTCCTTATTTTGGCAGGCACCATCTGGTGGATTTATTCACACAGACCACCGGTGGAAAGGCCAGGCAGCTGTGCTGCATCTGCTTCTGTGAACCACAGCAGCACCTCTTGCTAGAAAGCCCAAGAGTGGGCAGACCACCAGTCAGTGGTCCGGTCCATCTTGACTGTTCCTCCTCAGTGCTTGTGATTCTATCCTTTAGGCTTTCGTCATTGCTGTCACCTCTGACTTTATCCCCCGCCTGGTGTACCAGTACTCCTATAGCCACAACGGGACTCTGCATGGCTTTGTGAACCACACCCTCTCCTTCTTCAATGTCAGCCAGTTGAAGGAGGGGACGCAGCCAGAAAACTCACAGTTTGACCAGGAGGTCCAGTTCTGCAGGTAAAGTAATCTGGAGCAGTAGAGGACCAGGAGCAGTAGAATAGAATAATTATGTAGATGACTGGGAATTATGTCATTCTCCTTTCCCTCCTTCTCCTGCTCCTCTCCATCAGTTGTTACAAATAATTTTGAGTCAACAAATATTTATTGAGTGCCTTATGGTGGACCCTATGGAACAGACCATGAACTATGTAGCTTTGCCCTCATTAAAAAGAGTAAGAAATATCAGGTTAGTAGCAAGCACGTGAAACCTTATGTAATATGCATATGAGCACTGCGGATGTTCAGTGAAGGGGATGATTACTGGGGCTGAAAATGGAAAGGGGATGCTTCCTGGAGGGGCTGCCAGGACTTGCAGGACAGAAAGGAAGAACAATCCAGCATGGGCCAAGATATGAGACTGAGGAGGGATTTGAGGTGTTAGATAAACATGTAGAGCCCAAAACCTATGGCCATGTGGCTAGTGCAGAGGATGCTTAGAGTTAATAATGGAGAAGAATATAGGAAACAGAATATATGTACAAAATCCTAGAATAGTATAGGGCTACATGTTGTTGACTTTGGTTAGGATGCAGTACAGAATGAGAAGCTTCAAAATTTGATAGGAATTTCACTGTGTTGCAGTAGTAAGATATTGGCCCTTTTAGCATCAGAGAATGGAAGGATAAAGGGTGCTATAGGAAAACTGGTCTGATCTCTGATCTCAGAGAGGAAGGTGGACTGGAGTTGGAAGAACACAAGGAAAGAAGCTGAGCTGTTGTATAAGACATGAACAGTTCTGGGCACAGACCAGGGTAATGGGAAGAATTAAGAGAAAGAGAGGAATGAGATAGGTAATATAACATAATGCAAAGTTGGAGACAGGAGATACAGTCCAGAGGCTGTGAGAGAAGGGAAACTCTAGAATCTGGGTTGAAGTTGACAACTGGGAAATTGTAGTTTCATTTAGAGGGATGATGGGGATGCTAAGAGAATCTAATCGTATGTAACATATGATGGATGATGAATTTGATTTAAATCACATTGCATTAAAGTAATAGCAGAAAAATCTAAGAGACACTCTAACTCCTAGATATGCTAAACTGTAAATGTAGGGAGAGGTAGGCAATATGATCACATGAGGATCTCTGAAACCAAGAAACAGAAAACTTTTAATTATTAATAAAGATGGGGATTGGGGCTTATTTAACTCTTTTGTACAATGGTTAAGTGATAGTCCCTAAGGGCCTTGGTCAAAGGTCTTATGCTCTGTATTGAAAAAAAGTATAACCATAATAATAAAAAAAAACACAGGAACAATATAAGATTTTCTCAGACCATCCCTGATAGTATCTTATGTAAAATCTGTCAGTGCTGCCATCAGAGAAGTGGGATTTTCTTTGGGTTTATAGCATTGATAACCTGGTGTGTTCATCTGTCATGCATTTGCACCTGGATCAGCTTGGTACCCAGGTCACCTACTATAAGGCACTGATCTAGGCTCAGATTCAATAACCTGAGGCTGTGAGCAAGAGAAAATGATGTTGTCTTGGCAACCCAGGTGTCACCAATCCATGATGTGCAAATTTATGAGTGTCCAAAGCTAGGAGGATATCGTGGTCTTAAGAGTAGTAACTTCAGGGTTTGACTCTAGATGACCAAAAGAAGATAAAAACTCAGGGACCAGAACAAAAATAGGTGAATAAATTTATCCAGCAATTTATAGCAATCTAGATGTTTCAGATTTTTTTTGACATCCAGTCCTATTGTAGGTAGACTGTGAACTGCTGGGGAGCCCTCCTGTCTGATTGGCCATGGTGCTGATTTGGATCTGGAGATCCAAAGGCATCGGCCCATAGCACAAAGGGTCTGTGCCAGTGCTCTGCCTTCCCAAGAGTGCCTGGGTCTGCTCCAGTGGGGACCATGAGGCTACTAAATAGATTTTTTCTTAACAACAACATCTTGAAAGATGAGTTACATTTTTCTTTTTTTATTCATGAATTTTATTTTAGCAGATTAATATATGCATTTAACGTAGTTTGACCATTTTCACCACCACCTCCTTCACTCCCTGGGCCCTCCCAGTTTCATATTTTGGAGAGTTTCAGTCTGTATAATTATCTTGCTTATATCCATCCTCCCCAGGACCTTTTCTTACTCCCTTTCCCCCTTATTTCCTAATAAGACATTTTTATAAGCAGAAATGATCATAGAAATCATCATGTTGCTACTCCTTATTCTAAAAAAAGAAACAAGCAAATAAGCTGAGGCTTAGAAAGCTGGAGAGTTCTTTAAGATTACAGAAGTTTCACATCTCTCCAAGAACAAGGCTTCTACTCCCATGAGTAGCAGACACAATGCCAGCATGGCTTGTGCACAGAAGCAGGGCTGACTCTAGTGGTTTCTTTAATTGGTCTAGAAGCACATGTCTGTTGTAGATAGCACTAGTCTCTCACCTTGCCCCTGGCCATCAGATCTCCCAGTAGCACTTCTAAGTATGTTTACCAGATCAGTGGGTTAAATTGGGTTGGACAGAATGGAACTTCAGTGGCCTGTTGAGTGTAGGTGTAGTTTTAGGCAAAGATTTATTCAGTTAACTTGGTCCATCCAAATCCAATCTTTCTCTATTATCCAATTGTCACTCATTCCATATTGATTGCATTTTCAAGCTTATTATGACAACTACCAGTTATGGTGAGAATCAAAGGTATGTGAATGCTACCTAGCTAAAACAAATGCCCAGAACTCCAGAGAGTATTAATAAATATGGATGAGGTTGAGTTTTCTTGCTTCTCCCACTGGACTTTCCAGCTACCTGTGAAGTTCTGATAATCTTATCTCCATTGTTTCCATGCATGGGATTATGGTTTGTCTACTACTCATAAAAAAATCTGTATTGAATGCCACATTATCAGTGGGTATATAGATAGGAAATGTACTTTAATTTTAGGTTTTTGCTGAGAATATTATCAGCAGAATTTAAAACACTCTATGATCAGACTAAAGCTATTTTTGGAGCATTCATCATTTCCTTGACTCTTATTACTGGTCAGAATTACAGGTTCATTACGCAAATGTTGTTGAGACCCCACTGTAGGTTCAGCATTGGTTATATCATAGTGAACAAGATAAATTCCCTCCTCCAAAAATCTATAGGAAGGAGATGAATAGGTGAACAGGAAGTTAAAATATGGCTTTAATAATTGGCAATTGGATATCATCAGAAAGCTATGAAGATCTGGAGCAGGAGGCCATTGTACAAACCTCAGATGTATGTATTCAGGGGAAATTCAAGGGGCAAAACCTTGAAGAATGAGGACTTGAGGATATAGTTCAGCAGCCTAAGCTCCTGCCTGGCAAAAACAAGGTCACGAGTTCAGTTCCTGATACAAAAAAAAAAAAAAAAAAAAAAAAAAGAGTTGACAAATAACCACAGGGGTCCTCTTGTTGGACCTGCATCTATATGGCCAAGTCATATGGATGACTGGCTGGGAGTAGGGATGGTGGATGAGGGGGATAAAGGGTGTTTGGTGGCAAATGAGGTCCAGGGAGAGAGCACTGCCTTAGGAGGGAAGAATGGAAGTCGGATCAAAGAGAATGTGTTGTTCACATTTGAGGTGCATAGAGTCTCTTGGAGAATGAGCTCCCAATGAGAAGATTTAAGAAAACAGTGATGAAATCATGCATGCTTTTCATGTGACTAGCATGTAAAGACTATTAGCTTACACTGAAATTAGGGAGATGCATTACTCTTAAAGTTGAATTAGATGTCTGAAGGATGTGATTGGCATATAATCCAGAGATAATATATCAAATAGATGTGGGCATTTTGAGGCATTTCTTGATCAATAAGATTTGTTGGTAGAAAGCTCTATCTCATGTGGTTCCTACTGACAAGAGAAGGAGAGGGAGAGGGAGAAGAAATGGAAAGTGAACTGTAACAGAGCAATACTATGAGAATCAGTGACAACCCCATAGCTAGCCTCAGAGCCAGTGTTTTTTATAATTGCTTCCATGGTGGGAAATGAAATTTCTCCTGATTTTCTGGCAAATAGTGTTGGGAACTCAATGACCCTTCTTACTCTTAGCTCTTAGTGACCTTTGGAGATGAATGCAGCCAAATAAAACTGAGGTCTCGTGCTCCAACCCAAGCCTTGCCAGGATAGAGGTATCTTAAAAATAGAAAGTTAGAGCAAGTCTCCAGCTGCCAACTTGAGATTTTGAGTTGCATTTTCAGCATTTTTGGAACAATATTTGTCTCAGCTATCAGACTGCTCTAGCAGAACTACTTCAGCAGCAGTCTCATGACGTCAAGTATGGGCATGGTTAGTGACCATTAGGCAGGGTCAAAAAGCCACCACTTCCTGGAGGACAGATAGTGGCTGGCCTCTTGGCTTAGCAGGAAGCAACCAGAGAGCTCACCAGTGCAGGGCTGGTCCCAGAGCTAGCTCCAGGAGCATGCATGGTCATAGTCAAGCTGTTTGGAGGAGTTGAGCATCCCGTTGGTTCCTACCAGATTTTCCAGAGAGCCTAAGTTCTTCCCTGCCCCAGGATGATGTGAAAAGGCTTTGAAGAGGCCACTTCTCTTCCAGCCCACAGCTTCTTCCCACCTGTTCCAGATTGACCCCAGAAAAGTTAGCTTTTCTAGGTGCTGACTTTCCTCACCTTTACTAACCACTGAATCAAAGTGGGTCTCATTAGCTTCTAATTCCCTGCACTGTTTTCTTTTGCTGAAGGTCAGTTTCAAGAGGCAGTTTAGAGTAGCTCAAATGGTGTAAAAATATTGTACGTTGTTGTATTTAGCATGTATATGGCATTCATTTCACTCGGGGCTATTTAAAAACTTTCCTACACACCACTGTTTGGAGTTGAGAATGGAGTAACTGATTCATTATACAACTATATCATTTAAAAAGGCCAGCTGTGCTGATGGTTGACTGACCAGCTCCATAGTGTTGCATAGTGTCCTCCTTCCTCATGGTGATTTTATATTTTAATGAACTGTGACAGATGTCACAGTC